ATTCATAGCGTTGTTATAATTTCTTGTAATTCAATTTTAAATATTTGTTATAATTAACTAGTAACACCACAGATTGACTAACCTGCAATACACAATAATGTTAATGTAGGCCTATAATGACTTGCTTCAACCGAAAGTAGCGATGTCTGAACGTGAGAAAGTTGATTAAAAATTACAGACTTCCGCCGTCATCGCTCAATCTAAAATGGGATGGTATTGACGTAGAGAATGAGTATATTATTAAACTGTGCGTCGTTTTGTTTGCCAATCAATCCACCACGCAAACGCATTATATATCTTGAGCCGGTTGGATATAATTACAATAAATATGTTGCTAGGTAATTATTAAAATACAATCAACCCATGTAATTGCTAAAGAGAATATTCATTATATAATTAAATATTTTGATGTTGTTTTGAAAAGAATTCTTAAAAGTGGTAATGTTCTTATTTTAATTTACATTATGCAGTTTACACCGCTGTTATTTAATTCTGAATGCCTGATAATTTACACTACATCATTACATTGTTATTATAATTTCAATGTTTTATTTTAAAGTATTTTAATTAAATTGTAATCTGACTTGGTTTATCTTCAATTTGTTAGGATCTTCCTTTATAGAATGAGAAAAATATATTATCTAATCATTGGGGGGGGGGGGTTCACACAACCATTTTTCCTAACTGGGGTAGTTTTGTACATTGATTTAAAACAGACAGGAATGGAAAAAAGCTAGTGTTCGCCTGCACAGCAGTCGAATAATAATGATGAATACATTGATGTTCATTATGACATGATCGGTTTACATTTCTTTATAATTGTACAGTTGCCAGCATTACAATGAATATTGCTAAACATATTCAGGCAGGATAACATATACAGACAAGATGGTAACGCTAATCTATAATGACCCTTCAAAGATAAAACACAATATACACATACAAGATTGCTATCTAAAACAATACAATCGTGATTCTCAAACATATTTTTTAGGTGGCAACCCACTTTCATACTCCATATTATTCTTTGGCGACCCAAGGCATGCTATTGTCATGTTAACTGTGTTGATTACTTAGGCCTACTTTACCTGCCACAAGCTCATTAAAATCATAATGCTATAATTTTCGGAAATATTGCCCTGTGTTTTTTTTTTAAATCTTTGCTGTGTTATTTGATATATAAAGCACTTGCTTCTTATTTTATCAAATAAAGATAATACTGTTGTATTCTACTGTCAACATCGGCTAAATACAAAATAGCTGTGATCAATCGTATCGATTGTTTTTTGACTCAGCGAAATACATTAGGCATTTGTTAACGTGTGCGGAATATTTACTACACCCGTAAATTTGAAATGTTTAATGTAAAGCAATAAAACAATGACGAATTTTGAATTGTGAGTATGAGGGACGCGTTCAGTAATAGGCATGAGTGATACTTTTTTAGACGTAGTTCCTCAAACTGAGATTGCATATTTCATACAGGGTTAGATTTTACGTTTATAAAGAATATTTAAAAATATATATTTAGTTTTTCTGTCAATTGATTAGGATGTTAATTTTGTACCCATTAGTTTTATTAATTTTTACAACATGAATATTAATTTATTATTTTAATACAATTCTTGATTATTATTGTTAATAAAAATACATTGATTTGCATAAAAATAATTTAAAAATATTTAACGTAAAGTGCAGCATTTACTATCAATATATTATCAGATATACAATGGTGTTTTTTTTTTGTATTTTGAAATATTTATTCTTAAACATTTTGTTTACTGATGTTTCACACTGCCTGTATATTCAAGTAAAGAACCGTTATAAGCTATATGATTTTTTTTTATTATCATTAAAATTTGTATCATTTTAGCTGAAAGATTTGATTTAATTTATTAAAATCTTGAAAATTGTTCTTTTGAACAGATATGAATATTGACAAAACGAAGGAGAAATTATTATATCTGTGCGTCGCAGATTACAAATTGATGTGTGCTGACTATGCAAACGTGTTCTCCTATTGTTTAGTATTTCTTATTACGATCGATCGGCTATACACAAATCCATATCAAAGCATCCGTAATTGGTTTAATGAATGGGTTGCCAGGTAACTTTAAAACTAATAACTGATATTAATGATTAAAATTTCGTACATATTTCTTTCGAGTTTTAGAGCAAGAAGAAGCTCAGATTCGGTAAATGGCCGAGAAAGATTGTTGTTACTGGAAACTGCTCGGTACATAATTTAATACAAGATTCCGCTTTTATTTAAATTGTTCAACATCAACATTTTCTTCTGGATAATAAAAAGAATGAATGATTAATTTTCAAAGTGAAGCGAATGATAATGGACCTTTCCACAGTGTCAATCTTACTCAACAACTGACCAGGGGCAAGGAATATGCGAATGTCTTACAAAAATATCATGTTGACGTGTGGCTACACTGTGGTTTTTTTTTAAACCTTAGCAACAATATTCAATGGAAAGGGCTTAGCGGAATCTTAGCTTGATCAAAATTTAAATTAATTGCGGTCACTGCGTCTGTGACAGTGTAGGATTTCTAGGCAGCATGGTCTACTATAAGGAAATTGAAATTTGAAATGTTAGTGTACTGAACTCGCGAATCACCACCAGAAGGACCCCACTGGAAATAAGTCTTCTTTAAGACTTTCGTGGGCTATCCTTGGTGTTTACACCGAATAAATCCAATCCAATCCAATCTAGAATATGAATATGGAGTTTCGTCAAATTTGGCTCTTTCCCAAAATTTGCCGAAGAATGGACCATACAGTGTATCAAATATGTGCTTCCTAATATTTTGTGTAAATCTAAAGTGGGGTGTGGATGTGAGTAGCAAAAAAAAAGGATTTAAGGGCAAACACTACACCAGATATTTTAAAAACTGGTCAACTGACGATCTGAATACAACTTTTGGGAAAGTTTAACCAAGTTACAAGGAAGACAGTATTATTGTGTGGGTGACGATTCAGTTTAGGGTGTAAATTTGAAGGTCATTTAAATTTCTAATTTCCCAGACCTAAACTCTGAACAACCTAATCAATGGGTGAAAACGAAACTTTCTATAATATTTTATAATGGTCCAATAAAGAAATGAATAAATTTTTGTGACGATCCGGCGTAGGGTATGAATATGAGGACCATTTAAAATATATGTCCCAGACCAGATATAATTTTCCTAAACTAATCAACTGTTCCGAATGAAACTTTCGTGAAAGTTTAACCAAGTTACAAGTCAAAATTATTAATTGTTGGTGAAGATCCAATTCGGGTGTGAATTTGAGGACCATGAACCCAGAGCTAAATATCTCTAAAAACTCATCAAAAAATCTAATGAAACTTTGTAGAATGGTTTGTCATTGTCCAATAAAGAAATTATTACATTTTGGTGACGATCTGGTGTATGGTGTGGACATGAGTCTATTTAACGTTAAACGTCTCAGACCAGATATCCAAGATAAAAACTGATCAACTGGTCTGAATGAAACAAGAAAGAAACTACTGAGTTTTAGTTTCAGCCATGTTTCGGGTGTGAATATGGGGTTGCAAAGGTCGAAGACCTGAATATCTCTATAAAAAAAATCAATGCACCTATATAAACGTACGTTGCCTTTAACTAAAGCGTTTCAAAGTAACTGAAACTAGGGTAAACGCAAAATTACCGAGAAATGCATGAACAATAAATTATCCCTCTCAATCACTGAATTACCATGATAGGCCTGTTACTCAAAGTAGATGAATTAAAAATGCACTCGCTTACACAAGATCGACTCACTATTACCATTGCAGCTATAGTTCGAGTCTCACTAATGTCGTATTAAGCAATCACTGCGCACGAACGCAACGCGACGACGCGCGCAACGGATCGTTTTTAATGACGAATTGTTCAGACTGCTACCAAAGATACTAGAAATACAAGATAGAGCATTCGCATCGCAAAAATGAGGCGGAAATTGTATAGACGTACCGGTACGCGGCGCCCTTCTCTCTTTATATGGCTCTGTTTATAAGGTATGTTTTCTATACTTGGTCCAGACATATAGGGCGCCCTTCTGTTGCTAGGTACAGAGCCGTAGATAGAAAGAGTTGCGACATTGAGAATTTAGAAGCCATTTTGTGTCATACGCGATGCGCGTTCTGTGTCTAACGTGATGTGCGTTCCTGTGTATAATATTGTATAATACAGTTAGCGGCCTCCTGTATAGTTTAATTCCATTTAATCTTTTTAGCAGTCGAATTTCATGTAACTCTATAGCTTTTTTTAATGATTTCACTACTTTATATCCAATTTCATATTATAAATACTGTAATTATTTACTATTTTTGAGAAGTTATTTAATCCTCGCCGATAGACCGAGAGAGCCCTTCGATGGCAAGCATTCTTCAGTTAGGCAATCCTACCATATAGATCCTTAAGTAGCTCCTGTTATTTTTGCAAATAAATGATATGTAAGACCAGCAAAAATGTAATTAAATATGTATGTCAAACTACTGTAATGTAATTAAAATCCGTATATAGGGTATATAGATTGTTGCTCTTTAAATTAGAATATGAGCGAGCCCTATACAAATCTTATGTTATTAATTTGATTATTATTGTTTATAAATATTAAAATAGTATATTTCAGTTGGCCACAATATATAATTGTGCTTTGCTGTAAATGTTATAAATTGTTATAAGTGTTAAATGATATACAGGATCTGTGATATATTCAACTTGTGTAACTGTGTAACGTATATTATTGTATTAAAAGTCTCTGTTTTAACATTGTATTATGGCTGTACAGTATGTTACTTCTATGAACACACTGCAAGAGCGTGTCTGCTGTTTTAAAAGCGTCGTTTCCAAAATAAAGTTATAGTAATTATAAAATTGCCATGTCATTTTTGGAGTGACATTCACACTATTTGTACTTAAGTACTGGTACGCAGCCTCTGATGGTTAAATTGCCTATTTAACTCTCCGTTAGATTTATCTATA